AGTACAATAGCTCTCAGTATTCTTCAAATAGTCAAACCAACTGGGAGCATAATCAAATGATTCAATTCCTAGATTATGGGGCCATCCCTGGAACATGATCAAATACTGAAGCATAATCCAATACAAACTTAACAGTTACCAGTTTAAAGGGTATGGTTCAAAACTAGGAGCATTATTTAATCTAATACCAGGAACATGAGCCAATAACTGAAGTATGTCACCATCAAATAATGGGAGCATAATCCAATATCGGGAAAACGATCCAATACATAGAGTATGATCCAATACCAAGAACATGATCCAATACCAAGAGCATGATCTAATACAAGGTGTACGATCCAACACCAAGAATATGATCCAATACCAAGAACATGATCCAATACCAAGAGCATGATCTAATACAAGGAGTAATACTGTATGATCCAATACCAACAACATGATCAATACCAAGAACATGATGTCATACCAAGAACATGATCCAATAACTGGAGTATGTCATGATCAAATAATGGAGTAAAATCCAATACAAGGGAAATAATACTGTACCAGGAATATGATTCATACAAGGAGTATAATCCAATATAAGGAACATGATTCAATATAAGAAACATGATCCAATATAAGGAACATGATCCAATACAAATAAACATGATTCAAAACAAGGAACATGATCCAATACAAGGAACATGATCTAATATAAGGAACATGATCTAATACAAGGAACAGGATCCAATACCACAGATGCAAGTGATTCAATGTCTTAAAGAAAACTTCATATCTGGTAAACCCATCTATTCCCTGTACTTGCAAGAATGATTCAAGTTAATTTTAATAAGCTTGCAATAAATTAACAGTGTTGATAAGTAACAAGTGCTTCAGCTCGCAATAAACCATACACACTGAATTATATAGACTCGCAATAAATGATACAGTGATTCCATGTACCCATTGTGAACTTGGGTTAATATCTTAATATGGATTAGGGGCTGAGGTACACCCAATATTTCATATTTCAATGGTTGAACTTTATATTTCTTTTCAGTTGCAAGCCTAGTTGTAACTTCAAGTCATTGATAAGGTCATAGTAGCTTTGAAATATAGCATTGCTATGATAAAAAAACTTTTATAATTGCAAGAAGAAAAGAGAAAACCTGTTATATTTTCATCCTCAAGGGATTGTTCGGCATTCAGTGTTCAGGTGTCCCCTCCGCCTCCAGCCTGCATAGACTAATGGTTTAATTTTCCTCCTGGCTTCTTGTTGCTGGGTCATGTGGGAGTTGCGTTCATTGAATGCCTTCTTTCTTTGTTGATCTTGTTTATCATATTTAATGAGGCTAGACCAAAAGGAATCAACCAATGGGACCAATTGCAACTGTGATGTCATGTGTTGATCCAGAAATGGGGGTTGGATGGCCATAAACTCATCTGAGATATGGTCATTATGTATAAAATATGACATTACTTCAAGGTCTGGATAAGTGATAAACATGCAAATTAAAATTTCACTCGATCATGACTCCACCCCCCTACTTCCATCCTCCCCCGGAATAAACACCCTCTGAAAGCCTCCCAGTTATGGTCAGTTTTGATTGCTTGAGCATAACATGCAGATGTACATGAAATATGCATTACTCCTCGCCCAAATTTGTTTACCCTATCTGGTAAAAAATCCTGGATCCACACCTGGATCTCATGCAACCTGACTATTGTAGCCTGTAGTAAATTACCTTAGAGCTTGACATATTCAAGAACAAGCAGCAGGAATTGTCACAAAATCAAGTTTTTAGCAAATTATAATAGGTTGAAATTAATCTAGAAATACCAGATACCTTACACATTGGTGAGTTTGTTTGTTTGAGTCACACCAACACAGTATAGGTCATATGGCGACGTTCCAGCTTTACTGGTGGAGGAAGACCTCAGGTGCCCTTCCTTGCATTTATATATTTCAAGCACGATCAGGCAGGCACCTGAGTAGAACCATCGACATTCCATGAGCTATAGCTAGATAGCTTCCTCACATGATACACTGGAGAGTATTCATCTATAATGGTACATGTATGTGTAAATAAAGTCTATAGACCCAGTCATGTGTCAGCTATGGGCAATTGGTGACAACAGTTCTGAGAGAGTTTGGTTGTAATGCAGGTGGACTTGCACACAGAAGAATATTTCTCTATATAGTACATAACTACATTTGTATGTCAAATAATGAATAAATTATAAAACCTGAACAATATGCACCCTGGTATTTTGTGACAATACTTCTGGGAAAGTTTGGCTGAAATTTCATTAAAAATGTATGAGGAGTTGCCCACAGAAAATATTGTTAACTATTCTGCTCCCCACCGGCCTGTAGGCAGAAAACCTTGTTTAAAAGGACAACATATTTATCAGAAAGTATACTGACCAAACTTTTTTGCATTGTTTAAGAATATATATCATACCCTGATCTGAATGTTTTAATGACAAGTTTTACTTTTTCTTTGTACTAAAGAAAAGGTTCCATTGGTAGATTGTATTCAGGGGTAAGGGGGGGGGGAGCATTTAATACAGATTTTATGGTATATAGATGAATTTGTAGACAGACAGACAAACAAACAGACAATCTAAAGGCAATACAATTACAATGTATCTTCAAACTATTATCAGTGCTAAAACTAGATAACTTATTGTTATTCTAAAACTGAACTTATCCAGTCTAAGGTAGATAATTATTGATTCTATTGAAACTCACTTAAATTTGGAGAGAATGGCCCGAGATGACACTTGTAAGGGAAATGTAGGGATAGGCTGTTAAAACATCTGCCTTTCTTATCAGTAAAATAACTGTGTCGACAACTGAACATAAAATGTTGACCTATTCGGTCAATATTGACTGTGACAAATATTTGATGTGTAAGTGTTTACTCAATGATATGATAGGTTTAACATTGCAGAAAAGAATTGCCTCTTCTCTAGTGCAAGGGGTAATAAGATAAACTGCTTGATCTAAAGTCCACTCCAAACAAGGTACTGATAGTGTAATCTATAAATAGCATGAGAATAATTACCTGGGGGCGGAGCTAAAACAAGTGCCCTCCTAAAAAGAAATGAGGTTGAAAACAATACATTGACCGAAGGTTTCTGCCAACAAAGAACCGTTGTAAGGTTTGCCCCCGTAATGTTTGCCTTTAAGTTCTTTCAAAAAAACTTGAACTTTAGCTCAGTCTGTCGAAGGATATGTCAGCAAAAGTTTTAAGTGTACAGAATAGAGCAGAGGCATGCATGAACCTAATTGTTTCCCTTTGTAAACACACACACACATGAGCCGCGCCATGACAAAACCAACATAATGGGTTTGCGACCAGCATGGATCCAGACCAGCCTGCGCAGTCTGATTCAGATCCATGCTGTTCGCTTACAAACCCTATAACAAGCAGAGAAACTGATAGCGAACAGCATGGATCCGGATCAGTCTGCGCAGGCTGGTCTGGATCCATGCTGGTCGCCAACCCATTATGTTGGTTTTGTCATGGCGCGGCTCAAATGTATTTAACAAACACTTTAAAAATGCTGTTGTCTTCTTCAAAATTTAACATTAACAGATGTCATACAAATACCAACTATTGTAGCAAAAATTTTTTTTTTCCAAAAATAAATTTCTATGTATCTGCTTTGAATTTGGGACAGTCCAGTAGAATTTTAAGGGAATACAAACAAAAAGTGAGCTGCCAACAGTATATAGGTTGATCAGATTGCAGGGACTTGCAAGCTATACTGCCTCCATACTAGTGACAAAGGCAAAGCACTTTCAGTCCAGCAGGTTGAGGGTTAATATGCACTTAAATCACACGCCTAGTTATGCCCATGTCATTTTTTGCCACACCCTCATCCCTAGAAATACATGCCTATCATTTGTAGCCACACCCCCATCCCTAGAAATATGCAAGTGATAGCTCAGAAATTTATCTTCCTCTTATCCCTGAACTTCTCCCTTTCAGGGCAGTGAATTTTTTTGGGGAAATTTAATTCTTTGAGGGTGGTTATTTAATGCAGGGGATTTTGGTTTCCCCTTCTTAAACCCGGGACTTTCATATTTTTTCCCTCCTAAAATTTCAAAAAACTTTCATACATGTGTACTCCTAGTCAGGACTTTCATACAGGACTACTCCTAAAGTGGGGACTTTCATATATGTTTACTCCTTAAGTCAGGACTTTCATATATGTTTACTCCTAAAGTCGGAACTTTCATATGTTTACTCAAAAAGTCAAGACTCTTTTCCTATATGTTTACTCCTGAAGACAAAGATTTTAAAACCTGAAAAGTCAAAGTCCCTGTTATTCTCAAAGGGTTGGGCATCTGTCACCAAAGTCACCTGCAAATTGTACTGATTTAGTAGGGGTGTATCAATTTGGCTAAACACACCCATATTTTGATAGAACGCAATACCTTCAACCCGTATTGCAATGCAACTTGCAATACATCGAGGGTTGGTAAATACAATATAAAACTAAAGTTATTATTTACCATGGAATATATCTAAGATACTGCATTGCAATATACTGGTATATTATTAGTTATAATATTTTTTTGACATGTTATATGACCCTTTATAAATTGCTGTTCATAAATAAAGCCCAAGCTGCTAGGCAAGGGTTATATTATAAAAAAACATTTAAAAATGGTCAAATTTTTAAAAAAATGTTTAGGAAATTTATAAATTTAATTTTTAAAACATGTTTTTGCAAAAATTCCTTTTTTTGAGAAAAAAATGAAATGGGCTTATAAATTTATTTTGAGCCCTGTTTTATTTTTTTATTAAAACTATGTAAAAAATTTGAAATTTTCCCAAAAAAAAGTGATGTTTCAAATGTTTTTTGTATTGGCAATAGTTAAAACGGAATATTCTAGCATCCCTTACAATGGGGAAGGGTAAAAAAAATAAATGAAAAAATTTTTATAACCTTTGACAATCTGAATTTTCATTTTTCATAATCACAAAATTTCTTAAATATCATCAACAATATACAAGTATATGAAATATGCTAATTCAGTACATGGATTTAACATAATTCTTAAAAACATTAGGTATTCTACAAAAAACGAAACAAGAGCTGTCCTGTAAGACACCACGATCAACGACAGTAAGAAAATGGGCATGACGCTGCAAAAACCTAACTCAGAGTTATAGGACCTGGGTCTGTCTTGTTGGAGAATCACAGAGAACAAGTTTATTAAGTTCCAACCCCTTCCCTTCAGTTGTTTTACAGATACTAACTCACAGGCAAATCTTAACTGAGGTACCGTCAGCAAAGGGAAACCAACATTAGACTGAGTGCAACAGCTCTCCCTATTATTCTTATAGTTGAGTAAAACATGATCTGTATAGCACAAAAAGTAATGTCAAAGAAATAGCAATTATAATAATAGTACAACACAAATCATTATCTTTATATTTGTTTCGCATGCAAACACCCCTGCAGTCTGCGAAAAATAGACAAAGCCCGAGCCCCAGTCTAGTAAAATTCCCTTCGGGCTAGCATAAAATGTAGGGTGAGTAGTCCAACAGTCTAGCATTGTTTTGAGATCCGAAAAAAATACATACACAATGACTGAGGGAAATTTCCAAAATAATCTATATATAGCATTTACACCCCTTGTATTTATTATGACCAAGAGGGATATGCATATTGAATTTTTTCTAGTAAGCTACAATGTCATAAGCTACATGTAAATAAAATTATTTGACCCTGTCTAAGAATATCAGAAATAAATGTTAATCAAGTGATATCACTTTGCATTATTTTCTCCATACTTAATTAAATTTAAAAAACCTGGCCACAACTTTTGTTAGAGTTTTCGGGCTAGTTAAAATTGGTGCGGGCTATATGATATTTTGTTGGACAAAGCCCGAATGTCTATGACCACAAAAAGTTTTTCATGCAGACTGTCCCTGTTTCAATTCTAATAAATAAAACCTCTAACAACTGTGTTAAGTGAATCCACTCTCTGTGGTTTATAGAATAGTGTTTACGTAGTGCCAGTATTTGCTTCTAAATTGGCAGTGGAGTGTCAAAAAACTTTGTAGGGCAAGCTTGCGAAAATTTGGAAATATTTGTAAAACATTAAAATGTTCTTGTCGTGTAATGACTTGAAATATTGTAAATGTTTTGTTGGATTTTCAGTCATAAAGACACTGTAATGGGCCGTATAATGTCTTTCCAGCTTAAATGGTGGAGGAAGACCTCAGGTGTCCCTCCCTGCAGTACTTTAGGCACATGTGTGCACCTAAATAGAACCACCAACCTTCTGTAAGCACGCTGGATAATTTCTTCGCAATAAAGAATACAAAGTCCATGACAGAATTTGAACCCAGAGCCTTGAAGGGCATGTGATTTGATGATGAAGACCGTAACCACTAGGCCAAGTAGACCCCTTCAAAATGAACAGCATGGTGTGCTAGAGAAGTTCAACAGTGTAATAACTTGAAAATGTAACAAAGATGAGTAATATTGCATATTGTGCTAGGGTAATTTAGCACAACTTGGTTGACAGAGCTGATGAACACATGATGGTTTTTTTTTACATCTGTATAGCATAAATAACTATACAAAATATAACTACAATGCAGTAATTGGTATGAATGATATCTCAGTTATAATACTAAGGTTTTAATGTTATAGTTTATAATGCTGAAGACATATCAAACCAATAGACCGGGATCCGAGGTTATTCAGAAATTCTCTAAGCTCCAACTCAGATCTCAGGTATTTGATTGGTCAGACACAGACCCAGAATGTACTCTGACCAATGAAAACTCTGAGATTTGATTTGCAACAGACCTGAGATGAAAGTTTTATAACTTCGAGGTTGGTTTTATTCCTTTAACACCATGACAATTATCCATCAAAAAGTCATATCTAAACACTGTGCACAGCACAGAAACATATCCAACTGTAAATCAGACATCCAGTCCAAATTCCATTCGGTTACATGACTAACTATGTTCTTCCCCGTACACTTTTCAATATAGCTATTGCTTAAGGTTGCCTTACTGCACTGTTTTCCCGTCCAAAAATTTCTAACATCGGCCAATATCATATTAAATCGGTCATTTTCGGAAAGTTATTTTTCACAATCTTTGGTATTTAATAATTTCTAACCATTTATAACTGGAATTTAGTACATAGTGATTTATTCCAGATACTTTTATTACATGCTTTGATGAATACTTTTTGTAAAATTACGGTAGATGATGAGTGATTGTAAATAATCTAATGCCCAAGATTTTGAAAAAATAATGTTTTGGAAATAAGTGATTTGCTATGATATTGGCCGATGTAAAATTTTTTTGGCGGGAAAGCATTACAGTAAGACTACCTTAAAAACAACACCAGTCTGTCGAAACACTGCTGAGGTAAAACTTACTCCCAAATACAATGAATGTTTCTTTCAACAGCAATAATTGCAGATAATCTCTTTTTAAATCACCAACAGATATTTAATTCCAAGAATCGTTATTGTCTACAAATGTCATGGTAAGGATCTGTTGTACGTAGATCTCGCCATGTTGGAGGAAGACCGTTTAAATAGTGTTTACCACATTTCTGACAAGGAGCCGAGAACAAAGTCCTATATCTTTGAAACCAATGCTGAAAAACAAAAAAAATGTTATATTGTAACTGATATAAATTCAATATTCTCTTCAATTAAAAGACAATGATATAATATTGAGATTTGTCCTGCTACACTTGCAAACAACATCTTTATCAGACCAACCTCTTTCATACGATACAAGCTTTTTACTGCTAGGACTGAGGTTAGCATCTTCAGAACTTTCAAATCTGAGGATCAAAATCCATCATACTATCTAAGCTAGCTAGATCATTTCTTCATAACAAAATTCAAATTTGAAATAATGGGAAGGAGTTAATGGTAAAAGTCTCTGCCTCTCAATCCAAGGATAATGGGTTTGAGTCCTACTAACGTAACATCCATTTTCCCCCATATAACACCAATATTAATTAGATCATGGAAGCTGGCTCAAGAGTGATTAAAATAAGTTACAAGGTTTCTTTACAATACATTTAACTTGTAAATAATGTTCTCAAGTGTAACACTTACCATGAATGACGTAAGAGACAACTCCGCGTTATGAGGGGTGTAGAAATGTAACGTTGCCGCAGTAGCACTCTCTGTTACCTGAATAAAAAACATAAGTTGATAACATATAATTATCATCACAATATACTGCCAGTGAGTTAACACTCAGATAGTCACCAAATCATGGGCTTGCTGTAAAAAGATTGTAACTCTTATGACATAAAGAACAAGTTACAACCATTTAGCACCAATACCATGAAATGACCATAATAGTACTGTATGCTTTTAAAACTTGAACAAGCAGGAATAATGTACATATTTATGAATTCTTTCTTGTCGTTATCTACAGAAATCAAACCATATCTACCAAAAAATAGTTAACACAAAATATTACCTTTTGAAAAACTTTGTACTTTGATTTCGACCACAGTTCAAGCTGAAATAAACAATGTGATATAAATTAGAATACGAGGGATGTTCATTATTAAATGAAAATAGTCTTGTAAATAAAAAACCTCTTCATGAAACTACACCATCAGAAAATACAAACCTAGAGTAACATATTTGGCACCAAATATAATAATGATGTCATGCAAAACATGATGTCACTTTCTGTTAGGTTTAAAATTGACATCTACAGATTTTACATTTTCTCAAGGCTGCAGCTTGGAGATGAATTGAAGAAAATTCATTATGATTTATTTTGTTGTATATACAGACCTCGTACATAGTACATTTACTATTTGTTCTTATAAATACTAAGCTTTAGAGATACAACAAAAATAGCATCAAAGAAGATCTACTGTTTTTATTGCTAACTATATTATCCATTGTTTATCTTACACAAACAGACAAAAACAACCATGGACAATGGGTTCTGCATGCCATCTCAACAAGACTTGACATTATTACTCATGTACAGACTCAAATCAAACCGACTTCTGTAATTTTTTTATGTAATTTTGTTGTGATCAATGCTTCCCAGGGATCACACTTTATCCAGATTTTTTTTTGTCATTTAATCTGCTGAATTTCTTAAACATACTTGTCCACCTTCCATTTTTGGAACTGTCCATTATCAATTTTTGGGATATATAGATGATAATTTGAAGGTGGTCTGTCAACAGGTAAGAATCCATTCATTCCGTTCGATGTGCAAAGGCGGCAAAGGCTACACATATTTGGCTCCAGCAGGTTAAGAATTAGAACCAAATTCTCTATTTTTTAACGAACTGTAATAATTATCGATTTTACCATGCCAAATATGTATTATTTGTTATCATTCTCCAAATATTTATATTTTAAACTATCTCATCCGGTGGTCCACTTAACCAGCTTTCCTGGATAACTAACTAGCTTTCCTGGATAACTAACCAGCTTTCCTGGATAACTAACCAGTAAACATCAATTTCTCCATAAGGAACCAACTTCAAATACCACAAGATTTCTGTATCAGATGTAAGAGACAAATGACTATTAGACTCAAGTTGTCCTTAACTCCTATATAAATGGTCATGGAGGAATTTTGCTCCTCCAAAGTATCAAACCAGTGACTCCTGAATTTTACGTCCAGTGCTCTTTATATTAAGTTAAAGGGGGAGACTTCAAAAATTAGTGAGCTGATAAAAAATTGTCCAAATTCAAAGGGTCAAGAAATTAAAGAGGGGATACAAAATTTCAAACAGACTGCCAATCAAAACATAACATGATATCCCCTCAGGGATATTAACCTCACCCAACCTCCCCCCAACCCCTCCCCCTCCCAAAAACAAACCAGACCTTAGATCCATCCGGATTTTCCTCTGTAAATCCTCGCACATTCACCCACTCAATCATCATGCCTCGCAGCGCCACCTGGGCTTTCAATATGTGACTTAACGTTATCTAAAAATAGAAATATTTGCTCATCATCATATAAAAACATACAACCATATGTAGTATAACTACTACTACTACCTGATATGTTCTAAAACTACATTATCTAGATTTGACACTCGTTTGATCCAGTATTTTAGTCACGGTGTTACCAAGGCAACATATAAATAATAAATATTTAAACTTATTTACTTACTGCAATTATCTAATAAATCCCTGTCATGTATATTTGTCATTTATGTGACTGAATAAAAAGATGATGGATTTTTTCCCCACCATTTGAAAGCAAACAAGAAGAATCAGTGCTTGATACTATGGAACAAATTACAGTACTTTAAAGTAAATGTACATTGTAAATACCTGAAGAAATAAAAAAAGTTACAGAAATAAATAATAATTTCTCAGAAAAATTCAAGGAGATAACTCTGAGAATATTAATGCTAGAATTATGGAATTTGTCACATATAATGTGCGTGATAATAAGTTACAAATATTTGGAGTTATTCCTTTATGAATTAAATGGAAAAAAAATTTAACCAGAAATCTGAATGCTGACTTGTGTGGGACAGCAGTCCATATTGTTTGTATAGTATGTATAACTAAAGATGTTTGGGGTAGGCAGTTTAAAAAGTGTAGGTAGGAAGGAGGTGGTGGGTTGCCTGAAAAGGAGAGTGAAACTCCTGGAGTTCTCTCGACCTGTTATAATCTATAGTACCCGTAACGGTAACCAGTCACTTTTCTACACATCAGGCCATTATTAAAACATTTTTATCATATTTTTTATTATAACTTCTAATAACAATCACCTCCAGCAAGGCTAAAATTTATACTAAATAACTAAGCCTGAAAACTTAGAGGCAAATATACACACCTGCAATACAGCATGGCTACCAAGTGGGCGTGTCAGCTGTATTGATAAACCACCCCCTCTCTGATTCAAACGTGCAACAAAATTCTCAATTACACTGAAATAAATGAAAGTTAACATTCAAAGATAAGTCTGATGATGATTACAGTAACAAATACGGATATTAACTTCAAATTTCCAATAATACTCATGCAGTAATGTCATTGTTTATATAAAAAAAAAAAAAAAATTGTGTCACACCAACAATGTTAAGGTCTTAAAATCGTGTTTAGCTTTAATGGCTGAAGAGCCCTCTCATGCATTAATGCATTATTTCTTGAACTAGTGGACACCAGAGTAGAACCACCGACCTTCCATAAGCTAGACACAAAGCTTTATTACATGGAAGAATGAAGTCTCTAGTCTTATTGCATTTGAACCAACAGCATTGAAGGCCAAGTGATTTGAAGATTGCAGTCTTAAACACTCGGCCATTGTGAGTTTGGTGACCGTCCTAAAATGGTTTTGAATCAAATTGTGACAAGATATGCTAACCTTGGACCATGAGCATGACCTGTAGGAGGAACTCTTTTCATTTTTTTCGCCTGTGCTGCACCCATCTGTTGGGTCCTTTTTATTTTGACGTGTGCATCTAGTAACGAGGCCCCGTATCCAGCCAGATCTGATACCTGAAATTAATACCTCTTTTTGTATTACATTTTATTCAATTGTCCTATAATCCTTAAACAATATGATTTATTAACATACTTAACTTAGAATCAGAGGAATTAATGGATTAATCAGTAAATCTATCATTCCTTTTATTTTTAATCTATTGAATACCAGGGGAGGCAATTTGTATCATATCTTGAAAAAGGTTCACCATTAATGCTCACTTGCCCCTCACCTCTGTGGGTTCGAATCCCGACAGGGACTTTGGATTCTTTCATGTGAGGAAGCTATCCAGCTAGCTTACGGAACGTCGGTGGTTCTACTCGGGTACCCGTTCGTGCCTGAAATAATGCACGGAAGGGCACCTGAGGTCTTCCTCCACCAGTAAAGCTGGAACGTCGCGATATGACCTTTACTGTGTCGATGTGACTTAAAACCCAAAACAAACAAAAAAAACCATTAATGCTCTCCCTTTTGCCAAAAAACCCTACAATTAAACAAAGGAAAGCAACAACAACGGACAGCAACGCTCGACTATTCTTAGTGCTTGATAGTAAAAAAAATGCTTGATACAGTTACCTCCTCCTGTTTACAGGTTGGGGTCATGATGTTGAACAAGTGTGCAAAGTTTCAAAGCCATAAGTCAATGGACTTTGAAAATATTTGAACTATTACAAAAACTTTAACGTAAATTCTAAGTCGAAAAAGGGGCATAATTCTGTCAAAATGCTTGATAGAGTTACCTCCTCCTGTCTACAGGTTGGGGTCATGATGGTGAACAAGTGTGCAAAGTTTCAAAGCCATATGTCTATGGACTTTGAAAATATTTGAACTATTACAAAAACTTTAACATAAGTGGTTACGCCGACGCTCGGGTGACTGCAATAGCTCTACTTATTCTTATCGAATAGTCGAGCTAATAAGTAATGAGATTGAATATTTGTGCATCAGCTGTTCCTTCTTCATATAGGAAACCTGTGTTGTTAGGCTGGATATGGCATATCAAGTTAAGTTTGGGCAGATATCTGAGTATATCAACTGTCATATTAGCTATTTGTACAATGAATGATAATGCATTTCCACCTGTGTGGGAATTGTGGAAGGAACCTGGAAATAGTGGTAACTTGTAGGGTCTTTAAGAATAGATGTAAGCCATGAAGAAACAAGGGTGCCATAGTCACAAAATACGCCCGTTTACGAAAAAGCTTTAGATGGAGATGGGGGCATTATGGATAAGTGTTATCTAGCAAGCAAGTTTTTATTCTTGGCACTGTGTTGTTAAATGAACCTTAAAACAAATCAATAGGGAAGATATGCACAGAATGTGTGACCTTGACCTTGGTCGCAGGGACCTGAATTTTATGCACGGCACTCAGCCTCACAATGATGAACATTTGTGCCAAATTATTATTGAAATCCCTCTATGCATGTAGAAGTTTTGCTCCAGACAAGTGTTTTTCTATGAGCTCTAACTGTGACCTTCACCTTTGACCTAGAGACTTGGTTTATGTGCAGGGCACTACGTCTCATGGTGGTGAACAATTCTATAAAAGTAACATTAAAATTCCTCCATGCATGTAGAAAATATGCTCCGGACAACATCTGGATATTTAATCATCTCCAGTGACCTTGACCTTGCAAATATTAACCTAAATTAAATGTGTAACACCTGTAGTCATGATAGTTACCATTTGTGCTACAATCCATCAATAAATGATGACTAAATGGTCCCTATAACCATCTTCAAATTTTTATCTGAACTTTGACCTCTATGTGTAACCTGACTTTGGTCGCAGGGATCTGATTTTGCATGCGACACTCAGCCTCACAATGTTGAACATTTGTGCCAAGTTATATTGAAAACCCCCTATGAATGTAGAAGTTTTTGCTCCGGACAAAGCGTTTTTTTCAATGAGCTCTAAATGTGACCTTGACCTTTGACCTGGAGACCTGGATCATGCATGGAGCAATACATATCAGGGTGGTGTGAGCATTTCCATAAAGTATTTTATAAAAATTCTTCCATACATGTAGGAGATATGCTCCAGACAAAATCTGGGATATTTCACCATCTTTAGTGACCTTGACCTTGCATATATTGACCTAAAGTACATGTGTCACAGCCGTAGTCATTATAATGACCATTTGTGTTACAATCCCTCAATAAATGATGATTAAATCGTCCCTATACACATCTTCATATTTTTATCTTTTTTTAAACGGGCGTATAAAAAGTACATGTAATTTAATAACTAAAAAATTCTGATTTAAGATTTTATTCTAGGGAAATACATTTCATTACAATTCTTAATCTTTGAATGAGCTGAACTGATATTTACTTTGAAAATTAAATATAATTAAATTTTCTATGAGAAAGTATTTACATTTGATAAGGTAATTACTGTATGATCTTTATGAACAAATACCAAGTCTACAGAACACCATAGTTATCACAGTTAAGTATCTTGACCAATGAATGAAACATGTGTAAATAAATGTTACATTCTTTACAACATACTCAAGTCCAAGAAAGAGGATCATTTCATGCCCTTTGATTAAATTCTATTTTTAGAAAATAGATCAAGGGGAGTAATTGTGTAAGTCATTTATGAACAAAGTAATAACTTTGTTGTCTCCCTTTGATTAAATTCTATTTACAAAATCTGGATATTTTCATCATCTTTAGTGACCTTGACCTTGTATATATTGACCTAAATTATATGTATCACAGCCATAGTCTTTATAATGACCATTTGTGTTTACAATCCCTCAATAAATGATGACTAAATGGTCCATATACACATCTTCATATTTTTATCTGAACTTTGACCTCTATGTGTGACCTTGACCTTGGCCGCAAGGACCTGAATCTTGCATGCGACACTCCGCCTCACAATGGTGAACATTTGTGCCAAGTAATATTGAAATCCCTCTATACATGTGGAAGTTTTGCTCCGGACAAGCATTTTTCAATGAGCTCTAAGTGTGACCTTGACCTTTGACCTAGAGACTGGTTCATGTGCGCGACACTGCTCCTCATAGTGGTGAACAATTTATATGAATGTTTCAATTTTAAAATTTTCGCCTCAGTACATGTAGGAAGATAATGCCTCCGGACAAATTGGAACGCGGCCGCCTGCCCGCCCGCCATTCCCCTAATAACGGTCCCGTTTTTCAAACGGCGTAAATAAAATGAAAAGGCATTACATTACAAAACCTGGGATTCCTGCATGCACATTACAAATCTGGATTCCAACAATTTTAAAAATTACAGTCCCTTAGGATTTCTATAAACATTAGTAATGGTTCTTTCATAAACATAAATGTCTGTTTTCATTCCTCAATTTTCCTCATAAACATACAGTCTGATTCCCTCAATAAACATTACAGTCTGGAAAGGATTCCCCTCATTAACAATCAGCCTAAAATTCCTGATTAACATTAAAGCCTAAATTCCTGATTAACATAAAAGCCTAAATTCCTGATTATCATTAAAGCCTAAATTCCTGATTAACATTACAGTATAGATTCCTGATTTACATTACAGTACAGATTCCTAATAACATTTCAGTATAGATTCCTAATTAACATTACAGCATAGATTCCTGATTAACATTACAGCCAAGATTCCTCAGTAACATAAGATTCTGGATTCTTCATTAACATTAGAGTCTGGATTACTCATTAACACTACAATATGGATTCTCATTAATATTACAGTCTGGATTCATCATTAACATTCTAGAGTCCTCATTAATGACAGTCTGGACTTGGAAATAAACATTGTCTTGTTTTATTATTTAACACAACATAGGATTGTGTACTATTTAAAGATCCTACAAATACCTTTTCACTTGGCTGATGGGAATTTGTTCAAGGTAAAGAAAAAGACATATAAGCCGCGTCACGACAAAACCAACGTAGTGCAATTGCCACAAGCATGGATCCAGACCAGCCTGCGCATAATCGCGCAGTCTGATCTGAATCCATGCTGTTTCCGCTGTCAGTTTCTCCACTTGTAATAGAGTTAGTAAGGAACAAGCATGGATGTTTTCCTGATCAGACTGCGGCGGATGCGGCAGGCTGGTCTGGATCCATGCTGGTCGCAAACGCACTATGTTGGTTTTGTCATGGCACAGCTCATATTTTTTCATGGATATGGGAAATAAGGATACATTTCAAATGAGCTCTTGTTTGTTTGTAAGAAACCTACAACATTGTGTGTACTTGATTAATCTTCAAAATGCTATTTCTCACCTTGTTTGACCATTTGTATGCTTGGAAAATCTGTGAGTATACTGGTGACTTGTCAATTGCTGGATCAATACTCAAATATATACTGTTAGGTGTAACAGAGGAGAGTGACTGCAGGCCACCACAAGCTTTTTCCAGTTCACTGACATGGAAAAAAACAATGAAAAATACAAACTTATAACTAATCAACATGGCAACTATTTAAAAAAATTAGCACATTTCTTTAATGTAAATGCTCAATTATCAATGAACATACTGCATAAACTTAAAGTAAATTACATGTAAGTATTCACTTTAAATTGTCGTTTTTCAAAAAAAAAATAATATTAATAAAAAAAATAAAATAAACAAATAACACTTTAATAATGTAAAGCTAAAACATTGGTTTCTTTGGCTGCACTGTCACAAGCATTATGACCATATATTTGCATGTCCAGGCCTCTTGATTGTGTCCATTCAAGTCTAAATATTGAGAGTAAAAGTAAAATAAGTAAATCGAAATTCTATGTTGAAATCAGAGATAATCTTAAAAATATCTGGCAATGGGATAGAGTAAATTTATGAACCTAAACAACTGAAGAGGTTTTAATTTGATTTGAAGGCTGTCAAATTTGCATTTCATGAATTGTGAGTAACTTTCACATAAAAAAAAAAAAGATATCACAATTAGGGCCGGATCAATATACCAGTAAATCGGTATTTATCGATTTTCCGTTTTTCAATACGGTAAGGTTATGGGGTTTTAGCTATACCGATACAAAGGGAGACAACCTAATAAATGTGTATATTATAAAACATGATGGCTATACATTAAAACTATCGTCTTTAAAGTAAATGTTAAGAAGGCCCTCAGCAAATATTTTGAAAAGACTGCAGTGACTAGTTCAGGTGGAAACAACGAATATGTCAATTCACAAAATTGATCCCCGGCCACTTCAATCTCCTATTTCTAACACTGGTAAAAAAAATACCTTCAGGTCGGCAGTAGTTTTTATTAGACCAAACAGTTACTTGTAATTTAATCAAAACACATATCGTTAACTTACGTAAATCCTACAAATTTATTGATTTTTCAAGATGTAGTGTGCTAACTAAATAAATGTGACTGCACGAAGATGTAGCCAAACACCCGTTTTCGCGGTACGTTACAGATTACGACACCTAAATGAAGTTCAAACATCATTACGTGATATTTCTATTTTATTGTTATTTTACCGGTTTAAGATAGAATAAAAACATGATTTGTTTAGAAAAATATAACAATGTTCCATTTCTATCTCAGCGTATATATTTCAAATTTTTACAAAAAATTTATTTTATTTTTATAAAAATTCATAATTTAGAACAGTTGACTTGTAGACAGTACTAGACTCCTGCCATAATAAATTGGTGATGGTTTAATTATTTTCTGCGCTAACTTTTCGTAGTATTTACATAATTATATTTTTGCATTGAATTATTTCTACAAAGCATTTTAATTTTCTTTTCAAAATAATTGTTTTTATCTAAAAAAGAGGCCATCATGTCATTTTTTTTAAAAAGAGTATCTCAAATGTACTAATTAAGGTACCATTGCACCTGCTATATATTATTTTAAAAATCATTAACCCAAAATCCCAAAAACTAAAACAATATACAAAAGTAAAAAAATTCAATAAAATTTCACCGGGGATGGTTTTGAAATTTTTAAATTTTTACTTTTAAAAAACTAAATAACAAAAAGAAGTATCATTTTTTACCTTTTATCGTCAATACGTATTGTGGGAATTTGTTGGTCTTTTTATCGCAATACGTAAACGAATCGGAAATTTTTTGGGGCAAAAACCCAGCCCAATCACAATTTTTTATTTCAAATTTCATTCCACTCTGGGGCTTCCCTGTATTTAATTTAAAGAAAATTTAATGCTTATGGATTACCCTTTTAATTTTAAAGTATTGTTTTTATTTAAAACATAATGCTTACTGTATTTAACGGGTAAAGCATTTTCCAGATTGCGACTTTTCCCCTTTGGGAAATTGGGTTTTAATGTACCCATTAAAAAGTCACATTGTTAAAAACTGGGAAGCGGAGACCTTTAAACTAGGGCTGAAAAAAATTTAAACAAAAAAAAAAAACAACCACAAAAAAAACTTCATTTACTTTTTCCCAAAAAACAAAAGGGGAATTTAAAATCGTACAAACCCAAAACAGGCTAGGGGGGTTTTTTTTTTTTTTTTTTTTTTTTTTTTTTGTTTTTTTTTTTTTTTTTTTTTTTTTTTTTGGGGGGCTATAGACTACACCCTGTATATTTAAAAGGAAACCAAAATTTAAAAAAAAAACAACCAAAAAAATATATTTTTTTCCTTTTTTTAAGGGCTATCATTTAAATTTTCGTGTGTCATATCTTGGTTTGGGGAGCTGACATTTTCAATGTGAACCTTTTTGATATAAGGGGGCGGGAACAATCCATAACGGAAAAAATCAAAAACTTTTTTGAATATTTTTTAAAATCTTTTGAGATGTTCTGATGAAAAAAGAATGTGATGCATTTAAATTAAACCCCATGAAGCCTTTAAAACAAAAAAATGTTAAATAAAATTTTAAAAAACATTTTTTTTCCCAGCTTTTGCCTAAAATTTTATTAAATTTTTTTTTTGACAAAATTTTTTTTACAATAAAAATTTATGCGTTATCAAAAATTCTGTTTACCCAAATCATTGTTTTTCATCTTTAAAAAGTGATCGTGAAAATTTTTTAAGGGTTTTTTTTTTCATTCCCTTTTCGTTACTGAAAAAAACCTTTCCCCCAGATTTTTGGAAATTTTCAACACTGGCCCGCAAAATTTTTCTCAGTTTTTTGTTTTGAATAATTTTTTATTCTGTCTTTTTTTTCAAAAAATTTTTTTTGTTTTAAAAACCCCCGGGCCGAGATTCTAGCTTTGTTGTTGTTGTTTTTTTTATAGCTGTTATATCATTATTGAAAAAAAGAAAAAATAAAAATTTAAAATTTCATAAATATATAAAATTTATTATTGAAAATTTTGATTATTTTTTCTTAAATTTTATCTTTTGATCAGTTTGGGTTTACCGGTTTAAATTATAAAACTTTTTCGTTTTAATCACAAAATTTTTTTATTGATTTGCGCTTTTCTTTTTAAAAAATTTAAAAAAGCCGTATTATAACCCTTAAAAGTTAAAAAGGCGTTTTCCACAAAACCGTAAAACCAAATTTATGGGGCTCGGCCGGGGGAATTTTTTTGTACTATTTTTCTAAAAGTAAATCAGTTAAATTTTTTTAGGCTTAAATTTTGGAAAACCACTGTTCTTGGGGAATTTATATACTTTCTAACTTTAAAAATTTTAACCAAATATCTAAAATCCTTTTTAAAGGGCCCAAAATTTTAATAGGTTAGCCATCTACCTTTTTTTAGAAAAACTTCATTTTTGTTTGGGAAAAACTGTTTTAAAAATTTACCACTTTAAAATCTCCAAACTCCCCACAGTGATTTTCCTCTTTGGGAAAAAATTTTTAATCAAATGCATTTACAGAATCACAAAGATGATGGGAAAAAACACCCTGACGTAACGTCGAAATTCAAATGTAAATATCGACCGTACATAGAAAAATCTACGTCATTTTCTTCTTCTGTTTATTTTAACTTTTTATTAACGTCCGTTATATTTATCAAAAAATTGAGCAAAAATTATACAAAATAAATGAAAATAAAAATTAATAAAGCTAAAAAATATTAAATATTCAAAATATTATATTTCAATGTTTCACTGTTTGTGATGCCCAGAGATCTCTGTACTGATAAGGGGAGATCACTGCGTTATAAGTGTAACGTTGACCTTTTTACCTTTATGCGGATACTGCACAATGGCTTACAGTACATAACCGTTTTTTATGCCCAAGTTAAAAAAAAAACTTCCCCATGCAGTTTATAAGTTTAATGTGAATGAATGCCAAGATATAAATGTGGACTTTTTTATATTCGTGAATCTCGTTAAAGTTTATACCCTATATTATCGGTCTTATATGTGCACGTTTGGTTGTTGCGTCGGTACATCGTTTCCTAATTCAAGCTGTTTTAAACTTAAAGGGCGTACGCAAAAACCTTACAGACGGATCGACCGGCATTTGGAATTTATGTGTTTTTTTTTATCTTTTCGTTGCACATTCCCATCCTCATAAACCAGTGAAAATATCATCTTACAACCGACGGTTTCTGTGGTTTCCTTTCTTTTTTACCAATGTTATGGACGGAATGAAGCCCGTTAACACTTGGATGTTCGCATGAACAGATAGTCAGAAAGACAGACAGATGCCATTTCTATAATCCCATCCCTTAGTTACGACAGTGGACAGATGACTAATAAGGCAAAGGTTCAAAGCTAATTCAGCAGAATTATCAAAAAAGTTACATTTTTGAAGAAAGCATTAGATGTTACAACCAAATAGTAAGCGTTCAAACATTAGAGAAAATTCTATTGTGTGTAATGGAGGAGTGCAAAGAACCAAATTTGTAATGCTTAAAATGTCATTGTGTAAGAGCGTGAGATACTAATTAACAAAAATTTACGCTATAACATATATGAGGGGTGTGTGGATGAGTGTGAGTGCGTCGCTGTTTTATCCGGAAACATGTAGCTGTTAATTTATTTTATGATTCTTATACTTTTGAATAGTCTATCTTTTTGGATTTTTACGATTATTGAAGGCCTTGTTGAATAAGATTTCATATATGTGTATCTGAGGTTAATTATTGTCTTAAAAAGGTGATACCGTTCGCTAATAAATAATTTATTTATTATTATATTTTACAATAGTTGTTACTATGTGAAATGTAAGCAATGTTTTTAACTGAAAACTAATTTATTTATCTCAGGTATTATAAAAAAAGTTAGTTTACTATCTCGAACAGGAAGTAAAAATAGTACATGTACATGTACCCTGTGGTACATGTATGCGCATGCGCTTAAATGCAGTCTTGTTGTGAATTAAATAAATGTTTTAAAAACAGATAACATGCATAAAAGTGATTCATTAAACAAATAAACAGTGCATTATTTTAACAAGATTTTACAAGTACGCTTTATATGAGCAAAATTTTACAACAAATGATTTGGATGTGAAATTTCAACCCAACTTTCCCTCTTCAACTTTCGATTTCAAAAAGACACGCTACCCTAGAGGTAAGTTAATTTTCTTCATAACGAGTCTGTGC